CACATCTAATTATTTATCAATTATATAAACATTACATCATTAATTATTTATAGGGTATCTGTTTCTGCTTTTCAGCAGAATTCAAGCCGTTGGCAACACAATTCATGCTGTTGGGAGCCACAATTTTGGATCAATTCTCTCACTTTAGGGCTGTAGGTTTGAAAAAAAAAACGTTAACATAATCAATTTTCCTTCCTCCTTGCAGGGCGCACAAACACGCCCTTAATTAATCAAAAAAAAAATTACATCTTTTATTAATAACAAATTAATTATTAAACAAAAATATTAAGTATAAACTAAGCAAACGTGCATTGCACGTTGCTTGCACCTAGTATATTATATATATATAAAAGAAAAGTGCATCTTGAAAGTTCCAACAATATGCATTTTTGTCTAGTTGGACGATAAGTAATACAGTAACAAAATTTTCATGCAATATCATCATTTCCTTTAGTCAAGTCAGTAAAACAAAGAGTTCAGTTAATTGAAATAGAAATCAACGTTCAGTTATTAAAGAAAACAAAAGTTTGATGCCAAAGTAAAACAATGGTATAAATTGACGCATATTATTTAAAAATACCCCCATTTTTTTCTTTTTTCTTTTTTAAGTTTGGCCTATTTAAAAATTATGTGGTCAACCAGAGAAGATTTTGATTGTTTCTCCTAAAGATGCTAGCCACCAGTTAATCTCATGTATTATACAAAGAAAAAGATGGGATATGCATTTCTGTACTGTCTGTCTTATTATTTTGTTCAAGAAAAACTATTTTTATTATGTTTAGAAAATTTGTTAAGCACGTGAAGACTTGGTATATATAAAAATGTGCTAACCTCAATGTCAAGTTTGGCTCAAAAAGAGAGAATTTGCTTTCCTTCTACTTCATAAAATTGGTTCCAAAAAATAAAATTAATTGGTCTAAGACAAATTTATGCCTCCTCAAAAGCTTATGTCCAGTTCTAGCTCCGTCTCTAGTTATAGCAGACGAGAAATTCAATTCTGAGTATTGAATTATATACTATCTATTGATTCATCTTTGTTGTTCTTTGTCTGTTATTTTCGTCATGGGTTAATTAGAGTTTAATGCCTAGTGTATGTTCTGAAATAAATTCCATTTGTCGTTCAACTTCCTCCATCTCACATGCCAACTCAAAGCTTGGCGTCCACTGCCTCGTGTCTTCAAATTACTAGTATGCGTACCAGTATTTCTATTGCCATATATTAACTGGAATCTCAACTATATATATATATATACATAATTCTTGTAGCCAAAATTATATGGAAGTTTCAGTGTCCACGTTATAAAAGTCAGCTTGGCCCGATGTTCTCCTAGAAAAACTGGAAAACAGCTTGAGAAACTAGTCAGTTATATACTAACAATCGTGCAGATAAAAATTGGCTCAAAGCCTCTGCGAAACTGTTGACAAAGTGTGGACCTGTTGGCTTTTTATGTGAAAGAGAATAGATTATGTTAAGACTTGGAGCTTTGTGGAATAGTTTTGACATTACAGGACATTAATATTTGGTCATGGATAAACATTTTGTTTCTACACTGACGAAATTAATTTATGATTAGATGAATATAATATTTATTTTATCAATATAAATATATAGGCAATAGAAAGAAGATCTCGCATGAGAGAAGGTGAAGGCCTACAAACTGGAAATCTTATCTCCAGGACCAGCCAGTTCATTATCCTTTTCCATCTACACCAGGTGCTCCACTCGAGCAATGTTTTCCCCGAAGTCATTCATTGGTACTCATCGTTGTTCAGCGATCGGGATGGTGCCAATGCTATTACTTGATATCATTGATAAAAAGGACAAATACTCAGGCTGTTTGACTCCTCAAAAGATGTTCCTGAACTCGATTGACACGGTCGAGAAAGTAGTGATGGAGGAGTTGCCCAAACTGAAGAGAACTCCCTCAATGCTATTACTTGATATCACTGATAAAAAGGACAAATACTCAGGCTGTTTGACTCCTCAAAAGATGTTCCTGAACTCGATTGACACGGTCGAGAAAGTAGTGATGGAGGAGTTGCCCAAACTGAAGAGAACTCCCTCAGTCAGAATGGCTAAGAGAGAAAAAAGGGTCCGGACTTTGATGTTGATGCTGTAATTTGGAGAATATATTTTGAAGTTCTCAATCACGGTTGAGGTGGATTTCAGAGGAAAGGAGTCTACATTGGATGGATATGATCATATCTTGATGATCAGAATCCCAGTTTAGACTAGATATATTTCTATATCCTTAGTTCTACACTTCTACTATATAATCTGATGGCAGTAATAAGTTTTGGTTGGTACATTACTTGTTTATGGGGACTTTTTCACATGCTTGTTAGACTAGGGATTTTATGGTATCTGTTCTTACTAATCTTTGTAATTTATTCTTTTTCTTATCTTTGTAGGAAACAATTGGGTCGAATTATGTGGATAATATATGGCAACTAGGTAGAAGATTTTATTCACAGGAGTGACAAGATCTCACTAGAGCAAAAGGGAGTAGATTAAAACTTCGTTAACTTGTAATTTCAAGTGAATCTATCAATTAATAAAAAAAATAATTCATATTGTCACTTGAATTATTGTGAAAATTGTATAAGTAATAAACTAACTGCTGGTGATGTACAATTCTCAGATTGTAAAGCAGAAATATTGCTGAAGAATTACACATTATAAATACGAGTTTAATCTCCTTTATTCTAATTCTCCAAGCTTAATTTGCCTGTTAAGCAATTTTTTTAGCTTCATCTGCCTCTATGAGGATCCTTTTTAAGCTTGTTGCTTGTCCTCTTACTCTCGACTTGATCACTTTAAGGCAGACAAGAAATGAAAGCACGACCAAGAGGAGGTCCCAAAATACGGTTCCTAAGCTCTTTCGACCCGATTCTAGGCATTCAATGCGAATCGACTTTGCTGATTAGTTCTTGTGTCTTTCTTATGCTTCGACTACACTAGAAGTTAAAGCCTAATGTACCAGTTGTTAGGTAGATGGTAAACATCTGATTCGACTCCGGGCTCTCTAATGGAACATGTCATGCCCCGTCCCAAACTTCTTACTAGACTCAAGACGTGACGTGCACCGATGATAAGTGCCACTTAGCACTGGACCTATCACCGAGGCAACTATAACTATACTTCAATTGTATGACCTCCATTGACCAATAAAAACCCCTTTTTCTTTTTTTTTGAAAAATTTTGACGGAGTCTCTTTTAAAAATGGAACCATACTCAATCCTGTAACTATAAAAATTTCCCAAACACCAATACATAAACACCATAATATCAGTCACACTTCCACCCAAAATATCTACATCACTAGGCAGGATGACTGCTTATCAAAAAGATAATAATGACGCAGTTTAGTTTACAATATTCCATCGTGACCAATGGTACATTTAAATACAAACAATCCCCCAAATATGACGTAAGTGCTTTACTTGATGGTTACACTGTTCTAAGCGATNAGTACACTAGTCGAATTCATTAAGCTACAATCATGATCTGAAATCAATAAGTTGAAATCATAATCTGAGATAAATAAGCTAAAATGTAAGCTGAAAAGTGTAAGTTGCAAGCCAATAATCCACCATATACTGGAAAATTACATCATAATATAAATATACCCCATGTAATCATCTGGTGATTATCTGAAAGCGATAAAGTCAGATGCACATAATTGTCTAATCAACACTTCTATACACCGCCGTAGCCCTTCAGTGTACGAAGTGGGAATAGACATAATCATCTGTATGCACGGCTGTAGCCTCTCAGTGCATAATAGGTACCCTTATACACGGTCGTAGCCCTCAGTGGATAAGAGTCACTTTTATACACGGCTGTAGCCCCTTAGTGCATGAAGTAGAAATAACATAATCATCCTTATACATGGCTGTAGCCCCTCAGTGCATAATAGGTACCATTA